TCTGATTGGCCGAGGATCCGCAGTGGCTGGTTGCTGCCGGTCTTAACTGGTCTCAGGTCCAGTTATGGAGTCTGGTTTGGACCATCTGGTACTGTGTCAGAGGTAGTCCGGTTTCCTGCTGTGGCACATCCATAGAAGTTCTGGTGCTGACCCACTGGGTCGCTCTGCACCTTTGTTAATTGTCAACAGTTACTTCTAGTTGTGTTTTCTATGACGGGACAGGTTGAAATGAGAGACTCAGCTGGAGGAAAGTTCTGATGAAAGCAGCAGACTGAATGTTCTAGAACTCACTTGTTCTGCTATCATCAAACCCAGATCACATCCTCCTAGATCTGCTACTAGTAATGAGGAAGTTCCTTCCCGGATCTGGTATGGTTGGTTCTAGATTGTTCTGGATCATCTGGCTGCAGCAAGTGATGATGATTGGTGGCCAGCTGCGTGGACCAGAGGGACGTCCGTCCGTCTGTCTCTGTCTTTCTCTGGTCAGATCTGATCTGGTTAGAGGCGGTTTGTTCCCCAGGTGAGATCTGAGCGTGAAGCACAACTGATTAACCTTTTTCTATGTTTCCAGCTGGTTTTCTGTACCATGACAGCGAATAAACTCGATGCATCTCCCGTTTCCCACGCTCTATAGTTAAGATGGCTATCAACCATCGAGTCCAAATTCTCATGACCACATTAAGCCGTCTACATCTATTTCACTGAGAGTTTTTTTCCCCACACACTTTGAATGCATCATAAACCCCTCCTCCAAACAGGATTGTTTTCACACACACTACGACAACCAGTAAAGGCAATATCGCGGCAGCAGGTGATTCCGCTGAGCAATATATGCAGCGGCTTGCAGGGAAATTAGACGCCGTTTATCACGTTTTTTCAATATTTAGATACTCTAAAACCTGAAATGATTTTTAAGGCATTCTCTAAACCAATGTTCTCATATTAACTACCTTTTGTGCTTCTTTAAACCCCCAGCAGGTAAAGCTCAATGCTAATAGATGCTCTGATGATGATCTAATGTAGGACACTATTTTGTTTATGAAATTTAAAGTCAATTTCTTTTTTCATTTTGTATTTTTTTAATCATGCCCATAAGAGCCTATTTCCCATTCTATTTAGTATATTGGGTGTTTTTGCTTTGTTTCCTGCTTGGTTGCTTGTATCCTGTTAAAGGACTAATTCAGACCTCCAAAGACACCATGTGGCAGAAAAGCTTTGATCTGGTTAAAATAAAAGGCAACAAAAGTCCTTCTGCAGAGGTTAATGAAGGTCAAAGAAGTAACAGCAGGCCTACAGCTTGAAGGCCGCTCTGGACACCGGACGCTCTGGATTCTAAACTTTCTGGATACTGGACACTCTGGAGACTGGATGCTCTGGATGCTTTAATTAGGGCTAAACAAACAGTGAATGAGATCAGAGTGTGGTGTGAGGGGGGCCATGGAGAAACTCCCGGAATGTTTTGAATGCTCTGACTGGAAGCTCTGGATGCTGGACGCTCTGGATGATGTAAGCTCTGGAGGCCGGACGCTGTGGACGCTGGAAGCTCTGGATGCTCTGGATGTTTTAATCAGGGCTAAGCCAACAGTGAAGGAGGTCAGAATGTGGTGTGAGTGGGGCCATGGAAAAACTTAAGGACTGTTTAAAAGCTCTGCATGCTGGAAGCTCTGTATGCTGGAAGCTCTGGAGGCTAGACGCTCCACGGGCCAGATGCTCCTGAAGCCGTACGCTCCGGAGGCTGGACATTTTGGATGCCGGACGCTGGATGCTCTGGAGGCTTTAGATTCTGGAGGCTCTGGACGCTAGAAGACCTGGATGCTCTGAACACTGGACACTCTGGATGTTGTACGCTCGGATGTTGGAAGCTTTATATGCTGGAAGCTCTGGATGCTGGAATCTGGATGCTGGAGGCTGGTAGCTCTTGGCGCTGGACCCTCTAGACGCTGGATGCTCTGGTCGCTGTACACTCTGGAGGCCAGAAGCTCTGGATGCTGGAAGCTCTGAATGCTGGAAGCTCTGGATGCTCTGAATGCTGGACGCCGTGGACGCTGGGCACTCTGGACACTGGATGCTCTGGATGCTTTAATCAGGGCTCCCACATACCGTCGGTCAGCAGATATGGGCTCTTCCTATTGGTGACCTAATCAAAATGGCAGACTTTGAGGCCAGGCAAGAGTGCTGTTTGGAGGTATTTTGCCTTCAAGCCTGACGTGGAAGCCGGACGTGTATTTGTCCTCCTTTACCCCCAGATTCCTCTTTCTCCGTCAGTGCTCCGCTCACGTACGTCGTACGGAGTACTTGTCTTTCATGTAAATCAATGAGAGCTGTTCCACATCCTCCGCTACTCCTCCGCTCGTCACCGTGCACGTACGTCTTCTACGTCCCTCACCGTCAAAGTACGGAGCTGAGCTCTTTTTGGCTCCGCTCCGGTCAGTCCAGATCAAGACCTGAAATTGCAATCTCACCAAACAGGAAAAAGAATGTAGAGAAGACCCGGTTTGTCAAATTAAATTATAGTAAAAACAGGTCGGTAACTAAAAAATATAATCCAAAAAACTAAGAGAAATTAATTAAATCATTGGATGCAGACTATCGGTGCTTCAAAAGACCAGGAAGAAGTTGTGAGATTCTAGAGCGTATCTCACAACTTTAAAAGAAAATTCTTATTGCAGGAATGGATGAAGAGATGATGAGTTTGGAAGCAGAGAACAAACAGAGTTCAAACAGAAGCTCTGGCTCAGCTGGACCATAGTAAAATACAGAATCATATGCATACAGAAGGAATCAAATGGACATTCAACCCACCTTACGGCTCTCATCACGGAGGTGTGTGGGAGCGCCTCATACGGATGATCAAGAAAGCACTCGATTCTGTGATCAAAGAACAGGCCTTGGACGTTGAATGTCTTCAAACCACCCTCTGTGAAGTGGAGGCTATTCTCAATGCACGTCCAATAACGGTAACATCTGGAGATCCGACAGATCCCGAACCTCTTACGCCAAACCAACTACTATTACTTAAAGCAAAGCCCATCCTTCCACCTGGGCTCTTTAACGAGCAGGACCGCTACGCTAGGAGAAGATGGAAGCAGGTTCAGTTCCTCTCAGATCTCTTCTGGAAGAGATGGACACGCGAATACCTCTCACTGATGCAGGAGAGACAAAGATGGAACGAGGTAAAAAGAAATCTTAAATCTGATGACATCGTCCTCATCATTGATGACACATCACCCCGAAATTCCTGGCCGATGGGACGTGTAATAGAAACTTTCCTTGATGCAAAAGGATTTGTACGTCGTGTCAAAGTCAAGACTCAGACTGGTGTTCTAGAAAGGCCAATCACAAAGCTTTGCCTCCTCAGAGACATGGCCTGACTGACCGTTCATTACTGACCAGTACACTTTATGTAAATGTATTGATTGAGTGAATGGCTTTATATGCAGGAAAAAATGAACCGCTATTGAATATCTGAAAATATGACTAAGAACAGTCTATGACTATGGTGTTTACTGTATGTTGTCTTATGGACTAAAATGAACTTAATTCTTTCATTTTTTGGAAATCCCTTGATTTTTCTTTGAAAGGACTACTTTTTTCCAGAAAGCAATTTTCTGATTTATGAATACCTAAAGGGACTTAATTTGAAAAAAAAAGAAAGGAATGTGAAAGACTTTATTTGAATGCATGGTCGGTATTGAATGCTCTTTTGAAATGTCCGGCTCCTTGTGAATGTATGTGTTAAATTGCCATAGTTTGATCAATTAGGGGCCGGAATGTTGGAGCCGTTTTGTATTTCTTTTGTTTTTCTGAATTTATCATGAACATATTTGCATTCTAATTCTACTGATTTATTTTTGAATCTTTAGTTGAAAATATGTTAGTTTTCATTCTGATATGTTTATTTGCTGCTCTTCCTGTATGGTGGGTGTGACGTTGACAAGCTGATTGATTGACAATAGTTAGGTGCCGTCACCGACTGGGCAGGTAGAGTGGAAGTGGCAACAGTTTTTCAACTGCGTGATGCGGGAGCGCTTTTGTTTGGTATGCAAGTTAAAGACAAATAAATGCCTCTATTTTTTTAAGACACGCGTTGGGATCCGACCTATACTCCTACTCTGAAGCGGTGACCGCAAAGTTGCCGCTACAGGGCGTGATCTACAGCTCTCACTGGAGCGGTTCGCAGCAGAGTGTGAGACATCCGGGATTAGGATCAGTGCCTCCAAATCCGAGACCATGGTCTGAAGCCAGAGAAGGGTAGAGTGCCTTCTTCGGGTTGGGGAGGATGTACTGCCCCTAGTGGAGGAGTTTAAGTATGTTGGGGTCTTTTTCACGAAAGAGGGGAAGATGGAGCGGGAGATCGATAGGTGGATAGGTGCGGCGTCTGCTGTGAAGCGGGCGCTGTACCGGTCTGTAGTGGTGAAGGGAGAGCTGAGCCTGGGAGCGCCTTCGGATTCCCCCAGAGGAGCTGGCCCAATGTGGCTGCAGAGGGGGACGTCTGGGCCTCCCTACTGAAGCTACTACCTCCATGACCCCACCCTGGATAAGAGGAAGATGGATGGATGGATGGATGATGGGTCTATATAAATACTCATGTAAACACCCTGTATAATAATCCTGCTAGTTTTATACTATGTGGACGCCCTGTATATTCTGTATATATCCCATCATGCACCTTTTTCTTCCTTTGGCTCCTTCTTCTTCTTCTCCTTTGATTGTTCAGGCTGATGGAACAAGTAAATTTCTCCATTGTGAGATCAATAAAGTCAATCCATCCATCATCCATCCATCCATCATCAGCTCTTCAGACAACATGCAGCACTTTGTTTAGATTTTAACGTTCTTTCTTTAACTCTTTTACTGCAGGGGGCGAGGAAGAGGAGTAGAGGATGAAGAGAGCGTGGGCCCTGCAGAGAAGAACCAGCCCCAGAAGAAGAGAGGTGGGCTTTAACCCCAAACTGGAGATTCATGTTGGTTTTCAGAGGGATGTTGCTGCTCTTTGACCTCAGAGCTTCTTCCTCCTCCACAGAGCCCAGGGTCCCCAACAAGCAGAAGGCGAAGCCTGCGGAGCGCCGGCAGCCCTCCTCCACACATCCGGTACCGGACCCTGGACCTGCTCAGGCTGGGCTTGGCCGCCACCCTGACCCAGACCCTGAGTCCAAAGTCCCAAAGTGTAGCGCCAAACCCGCCCCCTGTACTGAGGAGGAAAATGGAAGCAGTTTGGTTCCTGCAGCTCTGTCCCCAGACCACGGCCCAGAGGAGGGTCCTCAGAACAGTCCGTCGTCCCCAAAATGCAGACCTGACCCCGAACCAGGAGAAGAGGACCAGCCACCCAGCCCTCCCCCCCAGGAGAGCGGCTCCATTACCACAGAGAATGAGAGGGACTCTGATGTTGGTCCTGTGGAGCAGAATCCAGTCAGGAGTCCCCATTATAGTCCCCCCGTGTCCCTCAGCCTGACACTGGCAGAGGAAGATGAGGACTCCCTGTCCTCCCTGTTCCAGCACTCCCCATCAGAGGACTCAGGGGGCTCACCCACCCCCAGCCTTGGACACACCAAACAAAGGTGAGTTCCTCTACCTGGGACCCATTCCTATCTAAAAGCTGAGCACCAGCAGCAGGTCAGACTTCCTGGCCTGGTTCCATCCAGGTCCTCCTGTCCTTTGGAACATCCTCTGCTTAGTCCATCGTCTCAGTGAGGAGACCAGAACGTTTGCTGTTAGCGGATCCGGCAGGTCTGGACCTGCTGCATCTTGTGGAAGGGAGTTCTGGATCTGATGGCGGGGATTGTGGACCTGCTGGATCTGATGGCCATGGGGGATTCTGTTGGAACCAGAATCAGCAGGTTTGGGGCAGAGCGCCTGAACTTCTAAATCTGTTGTTGGATCAGAGAGTTCCTTCTGGGTCAGGTGGCTCTGCAACAAACCGGTTCAGTCCAGAGGTTGGTGGTCAAGGCTAGCATGGATCAGGATTAGATGATTGCAGTGGTTTAGGGAGGGGACCTTCAGACAGACAGCTGAACCCCTTGCCCTGTTGGTATGGTTACACAGGACTGAGTTCACTACAGTTTGACCTAGGAAGTCACCTCCGTTCTCATCTGTCCTGCAGGCTGAAGCAGTGTGCCTTCTGTTACCGTGGCGACCAGCCTCCTCTGGGCCAGGGCCGGCTGGTGGTGTTCGGCCCGACACCGGGCTACATCCCCCTACACATCCTGAACCGCCGCGCATCCTCCGACCGGGATGACGACTACCATGACCATTGCTACCGTAATGACCTAGCCCCGCCCGTGTGAGTGAAATCACTTCCTTTTCAGTTTAGACATCAGGAAGAAGTGTTTGTTTGACAGGATGCTAAACGGCTAACTGTCTGTTTTCAGGTGCCGCAGTCCAGCACAGTGTGGTGAGTACTGGACCATCTGACGATGTCCATGGATGGAGGAACTGATGGACCCTCTGACATCATCAGATGATCAGAGCATCCATCAGAAGGACACTGACTGGTTCTGCTTTGATATTTCAGGAGACAAGTCTTCCTCAGAGTTCATAAAGCAGCTCGGACCCATTGGCCTTCCGCACGACATCAACGTCCAATCACTGTTTGACCCCACAGGTAGACCAGTCTGCTCCTCCTCCTGCTCCTCCTCTGTCTCCTCTTCTCTGTGTTGACTGAGGTCTGTGTTCAGGTCAGTGCTGCGCTCACCTGCAGTGTGCTGCCTGGTCAGAAGGTGTGCGACAAGGCGATGGCGAATCGTTACTCTACGTTGACAAAGCCATCGACCAAGGAAGCACTCAGGTGAGTTAGCATCTACTGAAAGCACCTGCTAGGAGAGCACCTGCTAGGAGAGCACCTGCTAGGAGAGCACCTGCTAG